TGATGGACTGGAGACATGTCCAGGTGTCCCTATGATGGACTGGAGACATGTCCAGGGTGTCCTCTGCCTCTCGTACAGTGACTGCTGGACATGGGCACCAGTGATCCCTGTGACCTGAAAAGGAAAGCGTAAAGTGCTATGTGTTGTCATCATTATATGTTTCTATACAATAACAAAATTAGTTCTCTGCATTTAACCCATCACACCTGAGATACACCCAGGTGGAGCAGTGGGCAGCTATGTAGGCGTCCGGGGAGCAATTAGAGATCAGGTGTCTTGCTCAGGAACACCACGGCATATGGGCATGGCAGGGAGTCAAACTGCGACTTTCTGGCCCCAAGTCGGCTGCCCTACCTCTACACCGTCTTGGCCCCAAGCGGGTAAAGATAATGGATGGAATTTCTATACACCATACCATTCAGGCATGAAGCTAAACTGGTTTCATATCTGAATTGTCTTCCGGTGTTTTTCCATGCAACATCAAATCGGGCTTAGGTTTGTATCTAAGTCCACCTTGAATTCTTTAAGGGGTTTCAAACATTTGATCATATCAATAGAAAAATCAAAGCAAATATGTTCTTGTTTTTAGAGTTTCACCCTGTTTTACGGCACCATGATTTATTGTTTATGTTCTGTCTGGAACAGGTCTCTCTTGTAAATGAGTCCTTGTCTCTCAATAATGCTAGCCTGTATAAATAAAGGTTGAATGAATGAATGAATATATCTCACTGGGATGCCACGGGACTCTGTGTACGTAATTTCGTTCCACCTCATGTACAAAGTATCACATGTGGTGAAATGACAATAAGCCAACTTGAACTTGAGCTTGAACGATGAGCAACTAGTTGAGGACATAATTGTGAGGAAAAAATACACAAATATTCACTTGGAATACCTGGAAATAAAACGTTGCTACAAATGAGGTGCAACGGTTGCGTTACAATTTAGCCACAGTACGTCACGGATGCTTTAGACGACTATTTCAAGAATAAATTTGTTGCACAAATTGCAGAAGTTGCTGAAAATGTAATGTAGGCTCCTCGTGGTGTGGCTGATGCTTTTTGGACATGATCAAAACTCCAGCGAGATGAGAGCGTGGCCCTGAAACTTCCAAAGAACTTAAGAATCCTTGGAAAAGTTTACGTAGCTTTGGAAAGTTCCACGTAAAAGTCAGTCGTGGTGTGTTGCCGTTTGTTGCAACCCAGTGAGACACAAAAATGTCTGACGTTCTGAAAGGCACAACTTTCAATGTCGAAGCCATGTTAACATGTTAGTCAGAGTCAGAGATTCTTTATTGTCATTCGAACCTCATGCCGTACATGTGGTGGAGCGAAATTATGTACACAGGGTCCCAGTTACATCCAACAATAAAATGTATAAGAAAAACAGTAATAAGATCTAAGATAAGAACTAAGAAAAACATCAACTAAAAATACACTAAGCACTAATAGCATATAAACATTACGCCGAACAGCAGCACGAACATGAGTCTGTGTGAGCAAATGAGCACGCATGACACCTCAATAACATGTTAACATGTTTAAAGGAATCCAATGAATAGTGTTGTTAAATAAAGATTAAGTGTCCAAACTTTCCCTCTCGTGATGACAGACTCGTGTCTGCCTGTGTGTATGTGCTTTTTGTAGGTCAGCAAAATTTCTCATGAACCAAAGAACATATTTTAATGAACCGCTAAGAACTTAATTATTAGATACACATTGGTAACTTATTAACGTTTGGTGCCAAAATAATTTATGGCTGCCATCAAACGCTACGGCTGACTTTCATTCCTCTTCTTTCACCTGCACACCTGCACCTCTCTGAGTTCTCTTCCACCTGTTCCCTGTTCTCACCACAGACCCCAATGTCATCTGCAAACATTATAGTCCACGGGGGTTCCTGCCTGTCTTCATCTGTTAGTAAATGGTAAATGGACTGTACTTATATAACGCTTTTCTGTCTTATCAAGACACAAAAGTACTTTACAACACAATCTGTGCCTCATTTACCCATTCATACAGAACTCTACTAGATCTCTACAAAGAGTAATCAGTGCTTTATTACATTCATACACTGATGGGACACACATCGGAGGCAATGAGGGGTTCAGTGGCTTGCCCAGGGACACTTCTGCATGCGACTGCTGGTGGAATCGAACCCCCAACTCTTGCATTGGAGGACAACTGCTCTAACCACTCAGCCACAGCTGCCTCTCTAGTCGGTCCATCACCAGAGCAAACAAGAAGGGGCTCAGAGCAGATCCTTGATGCACTCCCACCTTCACCTTGAAGCTATCTGTCACTCCTACAGCACATCTCACCACTGTCCTGAAGTCCTCATACATGTCCAATACCAGTCTAGCATGTCCAACTGTTTTCAGACATGTCCTGCACCAGTCTAATATACTTCTCTGCCAATTTGGACTTCCTCATACATTTTTATTGTTCTTTTAAATATTTAATTTCTCAAATCGGAAAAAGAGTCTACATTTAAAGTTAAGTCTTTGTTGTTCTCACTAAAATGTTGAGGGCTTACATTCATGATTGGTGTTGTGTCTTACTGTTGTCCGTTTGGTCCAGATATGATTAGTTCTCTGTTCTTTCAGTCAAAAAGAGTGAAACACCTCCCTCTGGTCAAAGCCGTGCTGCATCAACTCCTCTAAATTAAGTCTACACACTCCATCGGAACACACACATCTGGGAGTGAAGCAATTATCACCTCTGGTAAAATCACACTGAACTCCCAGACTGAATCTGATCCCGTCGCAAGTTCACTCTAATTTGATTCACTTGGCTACACATCGAGCTTCCCTTCTACATCTCTCGCCCTCAGTTTTTTTTAATCTGTGCATGACACATTTTGGCTGTTGTCGTGTTGACAGAAAACATGGGCGTTCGCACGTTGTTTTAAAACGGGTTTCCTCTGATTTGTGTCAAATCCTGGCACGTCACTGGTCCTCGACGTATTCAGCAAGAAGAGTTTCCATAAACAAAAAGCACTTAGCAACCTCCCACACTGACAAACTTGTTTCTAAATTCTGAAAAAAGATCATGAATATGGAATAGAGGAGAGTGTCATATAAATAAAATAAATACATTTGTTCTCTTACAATTGTGAGGCAAATTGCAGAGTTGTTTGTTTTAGTAAGGCTGTGTGGAGTTCAGTGTTTTCCCTACGTCACTTGTGTCGTTAAAAGCCGGCTCGTTAGTCCCAGGTGGAGAAAGGACTTTGCGCCGATACGAATAACGGCAAGAAAGAATAAAATTTTAACATTTCCAGAATCAGAAACAAAGTGCCGAACTCCGCGTGGACACTCGGCTTCCACCGACTCTAGACTCCTCCCCTTAAAGGGGACGTGAGTGCAACCTCATTGGATCAGTAATGAAATATGTGTTGCAATAAGCCTTATGTGGTTCATTCTATGCGTTGTTGGGTGTTGGTGTGCAACTGTCCTTGTGTGCATTCAGCAGATAAACAAAACCCTCTCTTAATATGGCAAATGGCTTCAGGTAGAAGCAGAAGTCTGACTGACTTCCTGTTTTCCCTTTAACACTAGCATCATCTGAGGATATATGTAACACTTGCCTTGGCAGGGCACTCATCTGTGTTTTACTAAAGGGGGATTAGGGGGATATGGAGAGGAGAGAGAGCTGTGATGCACGCTTAGCGCTAGCTTAGTGCTAGCTTAGCACTAGCTTAGCGCTAAGGTTGTCCGGCAGTTGTTGACGGGGGAGGGAGTTGTTGGTTGAGGATGCGTGAGAGAAGCGGCGCGCTACATCTGTAGCTTTTCAGCTAGCACGTCTGTATTGTGCGCCGCTAACATAGCGCTATGTCAGTGCTGGCAGTTGTCCACAGGGGGAGGGGGGGGGAGTCATGACTGAAGGACATTTTGGTTGGCAGGGTGCTCAATTCTGTAGACACGGGGGGCGGGGCGCCCACCTTGGATAACGATAGGAGAAACACTGGAGTAGCTCTAAGCAGTCATTGTGGCAGTGAAGAGCAGTCAGAATACTTGATCCTGAACAATCATGGAGAAATTCTCAGGGAAAAACTAACAGCTACTCAGAGACAAGCTAACTTCTACTGAGCGTCAAGCTAACAGATACTCAGATAAGCTAACAGCTACTCAGAGACAAGCTAACTTCTTCTGAGCGTCAAGCTAACAGATACTCAGATAAGCTAACAGCTACTCAGAGACAAGCTAACTTCTACTGAGCGTCAAGCTAACAGATAC